GAACATTTTAAATCTGTTTCAGAAGAATATTGTTCACATCACTTACTTGTGGCTATTTTTGAAGTCTCATTTAGGTGTGAATTATGGGGCTCCAGGTAAATATTAAACAGGTGTAAAGCAGAGCTGGCCCAGAAGACAAGGAGCAAGAGCTGACATTATTTATGTAAATAGTGGATAAAATGAATTTAGTGAATTGTCCTTTTCCTTTTGATCATATGTCTGTGTGCCCTTTTTTCCCCCCAAACTTCTGTTTTTCCAACTTCCTGAATTTAATTACAGTTTGGGATTTCCACCACTGCTGTTGTCACTTAAATTCTGTTTCCAAGAACTAAAATCACCCTGGTTCTCTAAATGATCTCCTAGTGAAGTGTTTCAGTCTCACTTAGAAGAAATGTGTAACTTCTTTAAATTCTATATTTACAAATTTTTTACACATAGTTTAAAGCTACATTTTCAAAAGGATGTGAATAAACTTAAGGCTTGACTTTTGAACATAGTTAAAAAACAATAAATGTGTGGGTTTTACCCCATTATGTTCTTTTTGCAACAGTAATTTGGAGTTTTGTAAGGTTCATAAAAAGCAGGAAATGACCCTGGTAAACCTCAAAGGTTGTGGTGATTTAATTGTTGAATTTCATAAAGAATTCAGGTTTAAAAATGACAGGTAATTTTATAAGCATTTTTTAATTGAGCACTTAGGTGCACAAAAGGCCTGGAACAGTGTGAACATGCTGAGTGTGTTGGAGACTGCACAGTAAATAATAATCAAATAATGCAAAATAAAGAGAAGCCGCCAACCAAGATGTAGTAAGCAAATAAAAATTGAGTAATAACTGTAATTTCCAATACCTTATCCATGTATGGTCGCCAAATAAGGAAAAAAATGCATTGGAAAGCAAAGGCTTAGAACTCAGAGGAAGCCCAGGAGAGACATATTACTTCCATTTATAACAGAAAATCAACTGAAAACTTGTAATTGACAGAAAGGGAGTGAGTTTGTGTCCCTGGAGGTGCCCTAAGATCAGCAACAGGCAAATGGTGTAAACATAATAAATCACACCACAAGTTGTTTAATATGATATTTTTTTTTATTATTATTATTTTGGAAAATAAGAATACAATTTTATAAAGGACTGTAAATATAAAATGAGGTGGTGGTGGTGGTGGTGGGGCATGGGGATAGAAATACCCCAGAGTTTTTTGAGAGAGTCATTGAAAATATGTGTTGAATGGGGAATTAGGTTTCCAGGAGTGTTTATTCATAGGCTCTTGAAGGACCCAATTAAACTGGAATCCACTGTGCATGGCTGCCATGATCCCAGTGACTGATTTCAGTGGCTTAACTCTTGATTTAACCCAATATTATAGGAATGAGATGGAGCTGCTGCTTCTCCTGCTGCATCTCCAAATCTCTCCATCCCCTCACACTGTTCTGGACATCTTTTTTCTTTTTATTTTCTTTTTTTTTTTTTTTTTTTTTTAAGCATGCAATAATATTTTGAGCAAGGACCCAGAACCAGTAAAGCCTGGTGTCCACCCATTGCTGCCTTGTGGCTGTCTGAGTTGGGTGTAGAGATGAAAATGGGATTTTTTTGGTCCCTGACTTGGTGTGCAGCCCCTCCCTCAGCCCTGTGATCAGTCTCCACCCAGCTCTTCTCTACAGACTTCTCTATTTTCTGCCATTCCTTGTTCCCTAAGACCACGTAGTCCCCTTCAAACTCCTCAGGTGTGCTCTCTTTTTTAATTTCTTTGAAATAATTTAATGCTTCCCACTGCACTAATTCCCCCATTGTTTCCTGACAAATCCTTGCTGCCTTCCTTTCCATGAATTAATTGCACTTCTGGAGTTCTGGAGGAAGGATTGGTGGTGAAAGCCATTGTTGCTCCTGGGGAGATGCTGCAGGTCAAGAGTGGTGATGATTTTTTCCTCCTTATGGTTGTGTTATTGGCAGTAAATATTTCTAAATATGACAGAAGTTTAATCCTGAGCCTATTAATGGTTGGGACATGCCACTGCTGCAAAATTATTGTAATGGAAGAGGTTTAAATATTGATAGAAGAAAATCAAATGCAGTTTAATGATCAGCCGTTTCATTTGATGCCTTTGTTGCATTAGGCAGCCCATAAATATCTTAATAATTTCATTTATTGAGCGTTTTTTTTTTCACCTGCACAGTGTTAACTTGTGTTAAATTGTCCTGTTGGCTTCGGCAGCCTGGGGAAGTGTTGAGGCTTTAGGATGTGTCACCTTTTCATTTCATGATGCACCCAAATTTGTGCACCTTCAAATTAAACCTGTGCAGGAGGGGCTGATCTCCATTTTGTGGGGGCAGTGCTGCAGACACTGCAGCACCAAGAGAGGTCAATCAAGCTGTAATCATTGCTAATTAGCACTTCCAGAAGCTGTAATCTTTGTTTAAGTGGCACGTGGGTGAAAAATTATTCCTTGCCTGGAACACCATTAAAAATTTATTTTCCTTTGATCCTGTAGGAAATGGATGAGACAAACATGTGGCCTCGCACAGGAAGGGGCTTTTGCCAATTAAAATTGGGCACACAGAGCTCACAGTGATGCTCAGAAAACAAAACAAATTCAGTGGATTTATTGCCAGATCTCTGAGTTCATCTTTTGAGGTGTGGGTTTGTTTTCTTTCCTTTCAAATAATCATCATGAATGGTAGTGAGAGCTGCTTTGCCCCATCATACAGAACTTTTTTTAATGGAGTTTTTATAGAGTTTTGTACGAAAAATTACTTTTGCTGTGTGATGAGCCCTACTGGGAATTCAGGCTTCTTCTGCCATTCTTATCACGTGGAGACTCCTGTCCTGTTTCTACCTGCTAATCATCTGGCTGAGGAGTTAAGCAGCTACTGAATGAATAATCTTTCCGTTTTAGCCAAGTTTGCTCTCGTTTTTGCTGTCTGCTCCTATTTCCATGCATATTAAATTAAAAAAAAAAA